AGACCAGGAACAACTCTCAGTGTGGTAGGCCCCCATGAGGAAACACTGGGGCTAAAAGCTGAGGGACTAAAACAGTAAGATAGGATAAAAGGTATAAAAAGAACCAAATAAACAAAAAGCTATTTAGCTCATAAAACTGAGTTAATAGCTAGGTAAGAATGATCTAAAACAGAGACATAAAATGCATCAAAACTAAAACCTATAGGCTAACTAAAATAACAAAAGATAAAGGTTAAATGAGATAAGAACGTAAAAAGAGGAAGGGTAAGAATATAAAAATAAATAAAAAATAGATAATAGATGGATAAATCGGTTATAAGAGGAATTTAAAATAGATAAATAAAGAGATCAGTTAAAAGCCTGATTAAAAAGATGAGTCTTGAGCCTCTTTTTAAAAACATCAACAGTCTCTGCAGCTCTGATGTTCTCCAGCAGACTGTTCCACAATCGGGGGCCGTAATAATTAAATGCCGCCTCCCCGTGTGTTTTAGTCCTGACTTGTGGTATGTTTAAAAGGCCGGTGCCGGAGGACCTCAGGGTCCGCAAGGGTTGATATGATAAAAGCAGGTCAGATAAATAAGAAGGCCCAAGACCGTTAAGACATTTAAAAACTAATAAAAGAACCTTAAAATTGATCCTGAAGCGCACGGGGAGCCAATGCAACGATTTTAAAACTGGTGTAGTGTGCTCCCGCCCTCTGGTCCTCGTCAGCACTCGTGCAGCTGAATTCTGTAATAACTGTAGATTTGAGATACTCTTTTTGGGAAGACCAGAGAGCAGGGCATTACAATAATCTAACCTACAGGAGATAAAAGCATGCACCAGCACCTCCGTGCTGGCCGAGAGAGAAACGGGCGGACTCTGGCTATATTCTTAAGGTGGTAGAAACCTACCTTTGTTATGTTTTTGATATGTGGAATAAAACAGAGCTCAGAGTCAAAAATCACACCCAAATTTTTTACAGATTGTGTTGGTTTAAAATCCTGTAGTTTTGGTAAAAGTTTCTCTCTCTTGCCTTCAGGACCAATGACTAAAACTTCTGTTTTGTCCTGGTTGAGCTGCAGGAAATTCACTGCCATCCATGACTTTATGTCTAAAATGCAGTTAAAAAGGGCATCAATTGACCCTGTGTCATCAGGAGACACGGTGATGTACAGCTGCGTATCATCAGCATAACTATGAAAGCTGATGCCGTGCCTCCTGATGAGGTCCCCCAAGGGAAGCATGTAGAGATTAAAAACAGTTGGACCTAAAATTGACCCCTGGGGGACCCCACACTTTATCTCATGGGTTCCTGAGGAACATGTATCCATACTTACAAAGAAGTGTCGATCAGTAAGGTAAGAGACGAACCAGTTAAAAACAGTACCAGAGAGGCCGACCAGGTGCCTCAGTCTATTTAATAAAATGTGATGGTCTACTGTATCGAAGGCGGTGGTTAGATCCAGTAGTACCAAGACTGTGAGTTTATGGTTATCTAAATTGCACTTGATGTGCAGTTGGGAACTGTTGGGAACTGTAATTCCCAGCTCAACATTTTTGACTAGTTAATATAACTGTACCAATGTGATGATTTCTTTCAGGAGACAGAGGTGGCTCTGACAGAGCTGACAGTGGACCCACCTGCCTCTCCACCAGGAGCCTCTGTTCAAGGTAGGACACATTTCCAGACAGCAGGCCTGAATCTATGGCGAAGCTGACTGGCTGTTCTGGAAACATAAAACTCAGAGACCACTGCTTTGTTAATCTTTGTACAGCCCTCTGATTGGATGATCAGGTGGAGCAAAATGCTGGCACTGTGGTGCTCCTGTGTCATTTACATCAACTGATGCAGTATCACTCTTATTTCACTTCAGTGTCTTAAAGTTACAGTGTGTAATTTACGTGGTTGTTTATTAGCAAATATCAACTATTGCGTTCATAAATATACAGTACAGGCCAAAAGTTTGGACACACCTTCTCATTCAATGCGTTTTCTTTATTTTCATGACTATTTACATTGTAGATTCTCACTGAAGGCATCAAAACTATGAATGAACACATGTGGAGTTATGTACTTAACAAAAAAAGGTGAAATAACTGAAAACATGTTTTATATTCTAGTTTCTTCAAAATAGCCACCCTTTGCTCTGATTACTGCTTTGCACACTCTTGGCATTCTCTCCATGAGCTTCAAGAGGTAGTCACCTGAAATGGTTT